ATCTGGTGCCTCTGGGATCTTCAGGGACTCAGTTTTCTTTTGAATGTCAATCTGTCATGCTTACTATTCTGTTTCATGCTGCAAGATAGCTTCTAGAGTTCTGGCCATTATGTTCACATTTGGGGCTCTAAGATAGAGGGGGAAAAGAAGAAGGATGCAAATGGCATGTGTCAAGTATCTTTTAAAGAGATACTGAGGCTGGGCATGGTGGATTACTCCTATAATTCCAGAACTTTGGGAGGCCGAGGTGGTAGGATCTCTTGAGCCCCAGAGTTCAAGACGAGCATGGGCAATACAGGGAGACCCTGTCTCTATAAAAAAGTTTTGTTTTTAATTAGTCAGGTATGATGGTGCACACCTGTGGTCCCAGCTACTCAGGAGGCCAAGGCAGGAGGATCACTTGAGTCTGGATAGTTGAGGCTGCAGTGAACCGTGATCATGTCACTATATTTCAACGTGGGTGACAGAGGAAGACCTTGTCTGAAAAAAATAAAGAGCAAAATAAAGAGATACTGAAAAGCTGACACTCCCTGTCTTTTGATCTAATTTGCCAAACTTGATCATATGACTGTGGAGAAGGAAAACATGTCCACATAAAAAATGTAATACAACTTGCTTCCTTGGCCTCCTTAGCAGCAGGGGAGGTTAGGAAATGTGAATTTATTCTGGGTGGTCATGTGTCCAGGAAAACATCAGTTTCTCTGAATAAGGAAGGTGAAGGAGATTGAATGTTGGGCGGGCCATTAGCAGTTTCTTCCATAGTAGTAAATATTGTTGTTGATATTATATATTATATTGATAATTATTGATGAAAACAGTCCTAATGGCTTAAGTGCTATTTCAGGTAATTTTGCATAACTATGTTCTGTTTCATTATGTCATAATTTGACAATTTAGGGCAATACATATTGTTTATTTCTGTGTTTTTCTGGTCACCTTGACATATAGCTACCAATTACTTAATGTATGAAATTTCAGAAGTATGTTTGTAGAATCAAAACCAAACCAGTCATCTTATATATTTAAATCAGTTGTGGTGGGTTTTCTGTAACCAACCTGAAAACCTGAGAGACACTTAATCGATTTGAGGTTGTTTTTTATTTGTTTCATTTTGCCTAAGAAATCCAGGTTTAGGCAGTTCTGGGTTGGTCCAGTAACTCAATAAGAACATCAAGGACTGAGGTCCTTCAATATTCCTATTCTTTCTGTAGCCTGCTGCTTTAATCTTGGACTTATCTCTTCATGATATAAAAGTGGCTGCAAGCATTATGTCTACATTCTAGACAGGAAAAGGTGAAAAGCCCAAGGGCAAAGGGTCCTTCCCTTTTTATTTATAAAGTGATACCCTCTTCATAGGCTACTACCATATGTCCTTAACCAGAACTATATCACATGGCTACCCTTAGCCACAAGAGAGAGTGTAAAGTGAGTTTTCTGAGAGGAAGGCAAGATTTAATATGTATGAACCACTAGCAGTGTCTATTAGAGTATCTGTTACAAATTTTTATGTGTTTATTTATTAAAAGAAAAGGTTGCCTGCAGATGTATTAAATTCTCATTGTTGCAAACATACAGAACTCTTCATTAGGTTTAGTTTTCATTTTTATTGTCTCTAATATTTCAGAGGAATGCTTTACAAGCAATTTCTCCAGCCACTATGGAAGTTCTTATGCGAGTTTTGGCAGATTGTGATTCCTGGGAGGATGGAGATCCTGAAGAAGTGGGTAGGAAGGCAGAACTAACTCTGAAGTGCCTTACAGAAGTGGTACATATCCTTCTCAGTAGCAATTCTGATCAGCGTCAAGTGGAAACCAGTACTATTCTGGAGAACTATTTTAAATTGCTAAATTCAGATCATTCAGCTTTACCTAATCAAAGAAGGTCCAGACAGTGGGAAAACCGATTTATTGCTCTACAGATCAAAATGCTGAGTAAGTATTACATAATGACAACTTTTTCTGAGTCTGTTTTTAATTTTCATATCTACCACTTTCTCTTGAAATACAAGGCTGTTGTATGGAAAGCATTGATTGTTTAATTCAGATATCATGTGAATGCTTAGACTTTGACTTCAAAATAATTTATATAGAATTGATGTGTTTGTTACACCCTCTTTGCTTTAACAATAACAAAGTCAAGTCTCTATATTGTTTTGACAGTGTAATCTCCTAAATGCATCAATGTTAAAAAGAAAATTAGCTATGACTTTGAAATTCTAGGAAAAGTAAATTTTCAGAAAGCACCGTTTGTAGTAACCTATGGTAAAGAGTCCCATACAATCAATTTTGTATGTGCCTCTATAACATCTCTGTAGAGGTCACTTCAAAAATCTGCCCTTTCTCTAGAGGGCCTCTGTTTTTGTTTCTTTTTTTCCTCAGAGGCTGTGTGTGTGTGTGTGTGTGTGTGTGTGTGTGTTTGTGTTTCTCTTCCCTTCTCTTTGTGTTGGTTGTTTTGTGTCATTCTGCTTATTTATCTCTGTCTCTCTGCTCTGCAAGCTCCTTCACCAATATATTATGATTTCTTATTGTATTCCTATGTAAGGTTGTTAAATACAAATATAATTAACTGATAGTTCCTTATAGAAATAAAATGTTTTAATTAGCACTAAACTAGGAAATTCAGATAGTAAAAAGAAAATTCTTTATATCCTGCCACCCACTCATAACAAACATTAATGGTTTGGTGTATAGCTTCTAAAGGCATAAAAATGCTTTTATGTGTTTTTGTGTGTTAGTGTCATTTAAAAAATACTGAACATCAAAATTGTTTTAAAAATTAAAAAGAAAAATGATTAGAGTAAATGTTTGTATGATCCCAAATTTTCACTTTTACATGGATGATTTTCTTTTTATTTTCCTAGATACCATCACAGCCATGTTAGATTGTACAGATAGGCCTGTTCTTCAGGCCATTTTTCTTAACAGCAATTGCTTTGAACATCTCATACGACTGCTACAGAACTGCAAGGTATTTTTCTATTATTGTTGTTGTCTTTGATTTTAAGAAACTATTTTTTGTTTTTGTTTTAATTCACATTTGAACATATTTTTACTAATTTTTATACTTAATCTCTGTTTGCATTTAATTACATAACCAAGTTTTATCTTGAATTGAAACTAGTATTAAATCACTCATAATTGTCTAAATACTTTAAAGGTAGTCAAACTGGAATTTCTTTGTATGGGAAGAATTTCAGTTCATGAAGTATATTATTTTCATTCCATCCAGAAATATCCTTGAGGCCCTTTAAGTAATTAGTTGCTTCGGAGCTCTTCTATTTGTGTCTGAATGTACTAAGATGAGTCTTTGAAAAACAGTTGTTTCTCATGGAAACACTGTCTTCTACCACAGTTTGTAGACCCCAAGTTACATATCCTATAAATACAAGCCACTGATTATAGGGAGTATTATATAAAACATGTGGATTGCTTGGTGCAAACCTATTACTCCAACTCAAATTGTATGTCATTCACTGAATAATGTTTTTGTATAAGAAATAGCTTTTTTTTTTTTTTGAGATGGTGTCTCGCCCTGTTGCCAGGCTGGAGAGCAGTGGTGCAATCTGCAACCTCCACCTCCTGGGTTCAAGCAATTCTCCTGCCTTAGCCTCCTGAGTAGCTGGGATTACAGGCACGCACCACCATGCCCAGCTAATTTTTTGTATCTGTAGTAGAGATGGGGTTTCACCATGTTTGCCAGGATGGTCTCCATCTCTTGACCTCGTGATCCACCCACCTCAGCATCCCAAAGTGCTGGGATTACAGGCATGAGCCACCACGTCTGGCCAAGACATAGCTTTTTAATTAAATGATTTATTTAACCAATGTTTATTGTGTGCCAATTGTGTATCAGACACTTTTCTTTTGAGGTCACAAAATATATATTGTCTTCATAATGACTATAAATTAGGCAAGAAGTTTCAGAGCGAGAGTTTCAGTTTAGTTCTTTTTGACTTCATGACCATTGTTCCTAACTTTTACACTATGTAATGACCCAAATGATGATTTTGGGTGTTTATTTCCATTCTTCTCTCCAAATATGTGATATTTTTGCATAATTTAAATAAAATTCATAAATGATTTGATGCCCTTTCAGGGTCAAATAACATTTTTTATTACAATTAAAGTAATACATACTCATTGCAAATGGAAACATTGATAGCATATTGATTCTCCCATACAATAATTAATTCCAAAATTGTTGCTCATAGATTAAAACTGGTAATTCCCATATTTC